GGGTGCTCATGAGGCGAGCGGCGCGGCGTGCGGCGCCGGTTTGGGCAGGAGTGCAGCCTTGCTTAAGTCACCGCAATGGGGGCGGCTGCGCGCCCCTACTCAACCCCGTCCGAGCTTCGAGCGTCCTGGCTGGGCGCCCCAGCGGCAGGGATTTTTTGGGTGGCGTGGCGATCGAACGCTGCGCCCAGCTGCTGCATGCTGTAGCGATCACCCATGGAGACCCGCTGATGGCGTTAGGCATGTGGCCGCGTGGCGCCAGCTGCCGTGCCAAGCAAGCTCAGCAAGGCGCTGCGTGGCGCTGCCCCCCACTGGGCAGCACAGGGCCATAAGCGCTGCGGCGGGCTGGCGGCTATGCGGCTGCCCTGGCGCGGGCGGCGGTTGTGCCATGCGGGAGGACGCAGCGGAGATGCCATGATGCGCTGCGGCATCAGCCGATCAGCGTAATTGCTGCATGCAAAGCATGGGTGCTGATGGCAAGTGCATGCGCGTCGCAATGGGCTCACCCTTTGGTACGGTGACGCTCTCGCCCTCGCCGATGCTGCCTAGGGCGCCGCCCACGCTGTACCCCATCCTGCCCCTCAAAACAGTCAGCCACTCGTCCGCATCCGGATGTATGTGGGGCGGCGGGCCACCGGGAAAGCGCTTCGAGAAGCCGGGCGTGCCGAAGCGCGCGCCTGAGTCGAAGGTGCAGCTTTGGGGGTCGCGCGAGACGACCTCGAACCAGCCCTCCGAGGCGCCGGGGCTGGTCTCCAGGCGGCGCGTGCCGTGCTGGACGCGGCGCGGCGCGCGGGGGGCTGTGAGGACACGGGCTGCGGCGGCGGCCAGCAGCACGGCGAGCGCGGCGGCGGTGGTGCGGCGAAGCAGCGGCATGGCCGGGCAATCAATGACAGCGCGGCCGCGAAGTGCGAGGCTCGACCCAGCCGCGTTTGAAAAGGATCAGGATACTTTAAAGTATTTCAAGAACGCGATCGCGTTCTACAGGATGCCGATTACGGAAATGATCAACCACGCTAACGCAGACCAGGCACCGGGAGGTGTCACGGACGATTTTGAGATATTGACTTGCTAGGGGATGGATCCCGACTACTTGCCAAGGGAACCTGCACGCGCTGACAATGCCGCCGTGCAGGTGGCCGCTGGGGGTGACCCTGGGCGCCCACTGCATGTGACTACGAGTCCAGAATGTGGAAGAGGGCCAACGGCTGCGTGGTGTGTTGGCCTCAGCCTCATTCAGATGTCTGTCACGGAGAGATGCTCGTCCCTGCTGTAGCGGCCTGACGGAACAGTCAACTTGAGGTGGAGCGGCGGAAAAGTAGGCTGCTCGAGCGGCGACGCCCGCCCATGACCAACGGCCAGGCCACAAATGCGGTCCAGAAACATGCTTGCCCAGCCGCACCCAGCACATCTGCACGCCAGACCCCGTCCTGAGTGCCCGATGGCCGCCGCCAACCGTTGTGTGGCATTCACACTTGGAGCAGTTTCTCCCCCGTTGACCATCATCAAGAGTTGCCCCCGAGTGAGAGCAACAGTGGTCAGGAACCAATATCAAGCAACAGCCTGCGCCCGAATTCCGCTCAAACATTCATCCACAAATGCGCTGTTTACCCCCCGCACGCCGCGATCGCCTCCGTTCACGACCGAATCGGTGCGGCGCAGCAGCCAATAGACAGCGCTCGCAAGGGATTGAATTGGCCGCGTCCGTGCTGCCCGCCCGGCCTCCGCCTCTGCCGCACCGCACGCCGTGCACAGCCGTGCCGCAAGAAGCCCCGGCGCCATCGCCACGCGCTGCATCCCGACAAAACCTTTGGGTGGCGGCCTCAACCGCAGTGCTGCCATCAGCGAGTGGCAGCCGCGCGAATTTGCGCAAATCCACAGCTCTTGGCCTGCCGCTGCGCCCTGCGCAACGCTCCCCCTGCCTGCCCCACCACTTGGGGGCGCCTCCTGGGCACGAATGGTCGCGGCGCTGCTTGGGCTGGGCGCTCCGAGCGCGCGCCGATTGCATCAACTGCCGGAGGCTTGCTGCCGTCAGCCTCCCTACCGTCGCGCGGCGTCGCCCCCGCGCCCATGCATGTTGGGTCCCCCAATGTCCCCGCCGCGCCCGCCCATTGCTGACCGCCGACCTGACATCTGAGCCCTGGCAGCTGCACAGTCAGCAATTCACGATGACTGGGCTGGGACAACTTCAGCCGCAGGGCCATCACTCTGCGCTCAATTACCAGCAACACGGTCAGACAATGCAATGGCACTGGCGAAGCGGAAGGCTCAAATAGGAAGGCCTCGACCGCCCTCGAAACCGAACCAGGCGCTCTAGGGCAAGCTGCAACGCGCTCTAACACCAACCTTGACATCCCATAAACAGTCCGGGGCGTGCGTCTCAGCGCGTGTGAATCTTGACGGTGTCCGCCGGCTGCTTCTCCGCCGCCGCTGCTGACGAGGACGCGCTGCTGCTGCCGCCGCCACCGTTGCCGCGGCTGCCGCCGCTGCTGCTGTTGCCGCTGCTGCTGCTACTGCTGCCGCTGCCGCCGCTGCTGGGCTCTGCCAGCTTGATGAGGTCGCTGACACTGATGAGCGGCTGGTCGCTGCCGCCGCCCGCCTTGATGTTCATCCTGTTGACAGGTCAAACAGGGAAAAAGTGGCGGGTCGTGAATGGCTGTTATTGCAAAACCGCCGCGGCGGTTGGGGGCAGTTGGGGGCGGGTGGCGGTAGCGGTGATGCAACGAAGTATGGCTCTTGCGTGAACGCGTAATGTGTGGGAGGAGCTGCTTAGGAAGCCCCTAGGTGACTCCCTGCACGCCCTCGCGGCCGGGTAATACACGGAAACCATTCCCCCCCCCCCC